CCTCGTGTGACCTCGTGTGACCTCGTGTGACCTCGCCTGACCTAGCCTGTCCTCGCGTGTAGATTCTCTTCGAGGACGTCGACGTCTACCCTGGATACGAGCGCATCGCGGCTACTGTGCGCGTGTACGCCGACGGCGCTGACGAACAGCGTAATGCTACTCCACTAGCCGCGAGCTGCCGCGAGATTCTTGCGTTTTCTCGCGAGACGAATTCGAGAATATTTGACGTTGTAGTCGGTGACGACGTTGGAGAGAGAAAATCTTCAAAGTGAAGGAACGTCTCAGTTATAAATAAAACACTTTTCTCGGGAACTCGGAAGACCGGATATCCATTAACTAGGAAGAACTTCGGCTCGGGAACTCGACAACCAATGAGATTTTTGAAGGCACGATCACGTGCGTACGACTCGGCGTGAATCGTGAATGTTCGGCAAAAATCGGAAAGCATATATATATATATATAACAATTATATTGGTACGCCATCATAATATGACGCTACGCATAATATTTCGTGACAGCTCTCCGATCTACGTATGGTATGTGTGCTGGTGTGGTGTGTGCTGTGTGTCGTTGTGTGTGTGTGGTGCGTGCGTGCGTGCGTGCGTCTGGCGCGCGCCGTGTGGTGTGTGTGTGTACTACTGTGTTGCGTCGTGCGGTGTGCGTGTGTGTGCGCGTCGCGCGCTGCGCGTGTGGCGTGTGCGGTGTGCGTTGTTCGTGCGCGTTGTGGTGTGTGTTGTGTGTGTGTGTGCGTGTGCGTGCGTGGTGTGTGTGTGTGTGTGTGTGTGTGTGCGCGTGTGTGCGTGCCTGCGCTGTGCGTGTGGTGTGTGTGGTGGTGTGCTGGTGTGTGTGTGTGTGGTGTGTGTGTGTGGTGTGTGTGTGTGTGTGTATGGCGCGTGTGTGCTGGTGTCGTGCCTGCGCGTGTGTGTTGTGCGCGCTGCGTGCGTGCCGTGTGCGCTGTGTGAGTGTCGAGTGTGCAGTGTGAGTGTGTGTGTGTGTGTGTGTGTGTGTGTGTTGTGTGGTGTGTGTGTGTGTGTTGTGTGTGTGTGCTGTGTGTGTGTGGGCGAGAGAGATATGTGTGTGTGGTGTGTGTGTGTGTGTGTGTGTGTGTGTGTTGCTGTGTGTGTGTTGTTGTGTGTGTGTGATGTCTGTGTGTTTGCTGTGTGTGGTGTGCGTGTGTGTGCTGTGCGTGCGTCGGTGTGTGTGTGTGTGTGCGTCGTGTGTGTGCGTGCGTTGGTGTGCGTGTGTGTGCGTCGGTGTGTGTGCGTGCGTCGGTGTTTGTGCGCGTGCATGCCAATCAGCTTTCAATTACTCGGGTTTTCTACTCAGTTTACGTAGAGCGCTAGTACTTCGCCTTGCCACCAGGGTGCGTGGCGACCTCGGTGGCTTCTGTACACGCCGTATATACATTGACCATAATAGTATACTAAACGCACAGGTCAAGCATCTGTCGCATGCGGCGTGCACGTCAAAATAAGACAAGAATACACAATATCCGTACAGCTGCTAAAAGTACTCTGGCATAATAATTCTCTCAGCTAGTCAGACAGATTCCAGTAAAAACTTGCCGCTAAGAAGAGGCGCGAGTGTCCACATTATATTTAACATGGAATATATGGAGAATATTATGGGATATCAATGAATGCATGGGTAGATCGTACCAGGGATTAATAATGACAAATCGATGACAAATTATGACAAATTTATAATGGCATTCGTCATTATAAACCCCTGGTCGTACCACATAAAATGGCGGACGAACAGGGAAGCTAAGGGATAGGTATCCTTCAGTAAGTGAGGCGATGCTGCGTGTGCGCACGTATAGCCGCCATGTTGATGTTAGGGTTAGGGTAGTAAATAAATAATTGACACCTATTTATTTACTCTATCGTGTTAAGATCTCTCGCTAATCAATTAAAGAAGATTCATACTAATGAACAAACGATGAAAATAAAACGACTAAAATTTTAATGAAAGATCCTCTCTTTATTGAATTTTTTGTCTTTTATTTCTTTTCTGTTTAGTCTGGGCATAATTGTCACGTGACGACATCTGCCTGGAAAGGTCAGATGTCACGGTGAGGTTGGTCCAAGGGTAGCGTAGCTATGCGTCGTGAGTCACTTCTTACTGATGTATATAATTATCATAGATATCCTTCACATTACTGCTGGGCGATGAGTCATGTAGTGGCTGGCTGCGTAGGACAAGCGTGTGTATAGTAGCGTTATAGGGGTAGCGGTGTGGTAGAGGCGTTGGAGGGGTAGCGGTGTGGTA